GGCAGGGCAGGGCAGAGCCCTCGGCCCCGGGAGGAGGGCGGGACGCCTTTATCGCCGCCGCCGCGCCCTCGGGCCCGCCGGGGCTTTCGCCCTCAGCGAGGCCCCTTTCCTCCCCGGCCCCACTGCCCGCAAAACACTCTCTTTTCTTCCCTTTTTTTCTTATTTTCCTTTTTTGTTTTCTTTTCCTCTCTTCCCTGGCACAACCCCTTTCCTTCCCGGGGACGCCGCCTCTGCCCCGGCCGGGCAGGTGGCAAGGCTGATAAGGGCTGCTGCTGTCCCTAGCCCGGGGCCGGGGGGAGAAACGGAGGGTAGGATTATTTATGATTCCCGGGAAGGGCGGCTGGACAGACACACCTGTCGGAACGTGGGAGCTGTAAGCTCGGCAAGCGGGGCCGAGCAGCTCCGCCTGTCCCCGGCGGGAGCGCCGCAGCCGCCGCCCCGCACCGAGCTGGAGCATCAGTCCCGCCATGTGCGGAGCTGGTGCAGCCTACACCGCCAGCCCCCAGTGCTCCAAATAAAGCAAAGCTTTCTCACTGCAGGCCTTAGACGACGCCCAGGTGAATTCCCAGACCTCGGGTTTAGACAGAGCCAGTAGCGCTGTCTAAAATAGAGTTTTCTGCTGTAGAAGAGAAGTAGTAGCCCTAGCGCTCATAGTCCTCCTCATTCGCGTCTGTGAGCTCACATTTTAGAAAGCTGCATAAACTTATTTTCATCTAAAAATGGAGTTGCCCAGTTACCACAATAGAGGAGTGCCACGGTGAGGAATCGCAGAAGCCTAACAGGAAAGTATAATTAGGCATATTTGATAAAACTAATGAGGTTCCTGAAGAAGTTTTGCTCATGTGCTATGGTGACTTTTTATTAATGCCCTTGAATGCTAAGTCTGCCCAGTCCTCTAACACCACTACTTTTAAGTGACATAACCTGACCTTTTACTGCTGTGTAACAGCAAACACCAAATTATCGTGTCTGATTTCAAGGGACGCAAACCCCAGTTCCATTGAATTATCAGCTTTATTGATTTGTTTACCTAAGTTGCTCTCTTCCAGTTTTTGGTTTGTTGTTTTTTGGTTGTTCGTTTTGGGTTTTTTGTCTGGGTTTTTCTTGTTTGTTTTTTGGTTGTTTTGTTTGGGCTTTTAAATTTCTGTTCTGCCTACTTAAGCATGTATACACTTTTAATCAGTTTCTGCTATGTTTATTCATCTTGACCAGATTCTTCAGCAGCAGCCAGTTACATACAAGTGATCCTGCTTTTGGACATACACACTACGGATGTCATTACTGCATATTTCTCCCTTAAAATTACTGAAATCAGAAGCATGCATTCTCAGTGGTGGTAAGTAGCTTATCATTATAAGGAATGGTTCAGAGAGCAATTGTTCTGCACAACATATTAAAATGGTTTGGAAATTAAAATTTTCCTCTTCCGTGGCAGCCCGCTGTATAGCAGACATACTAATCCCTGCAATTTCTACTGTTCCTTTCATATAAAGTAGTGGAAGCAACGTTTTATAATTATAAACACCTCATCCAGCAAACAGGAAAATATTTTTGGCACAAAGCCTGAAGAAATACATCATATTTATAAAGAGAACAAATTAAAAATTGTAATAGAAATATTCCTTAAAGAAAGTAACAATGATATGTATCAGCTGAAAGAAGTACAGGACCTAGACTGGAACTAACCCCCTTGGTATGTTCCTGTCTATCGTGCCTCAAACAGACAATTAATTGCTGTTTAAGACATACTTCAGAACCAAATAATTAAACTACACACAAAGGCTACTTTAAATTCAATGCATGGTAATAAGAAATAAATGTCCAAAGATGTTGAGAGGTTATTTGTTCTGTTTTCTGCTCTACAACAAAGTCAGCTTTGTGATTCTTGACATACTTGTCTAACTTGCTCCTTATGCTGACAATGATGTAGAATTCACAGCATTTCCGAAGAACCTCTTCCACTGCTTCAGGTTGGAATCCACCAGTGCAATTCATCACAGATCACTTATGCCCTGAGGTCACCTGCCCAAGCCATAGATAATTGGTACAGAAAAATAAAGATTCAGGAGGGTAAGGCAGACCAGTGTCCCAACATGATGATCCATAACATCTTGGGCAAATCTTGCTTGTTACACGGAAAAATATCCCTAATGAAAACACAGACTAATATCTACCTATATTTTTTGTTCTGGACAGGATAAAAATTTTACTATTTTCCTTGTCAAACCTAAAGGAAGCCTAGTTTGTAATTATAGTGTTTCCTTCATCCCTAACATTAAATTACCCAGATATGTATGGTATAGTGTAATACTGGTATGTACCAGTATTTGCCTCAATTTTTCTTCTTCATGAAAAGAAAATAGTTATCATGGTCAAAGTGATTAAATTAATCCAGAGATGCTTGGAAGTCTCCTGTACATTTTTAGCTTGCAAGCATCTCAATGCAGATAATTGAAAATCAGAAGGACAAGCTGGATTAAACATCTCCTCAGCCACCTGTATTTCTTCTGTCTCCTTTGCAGACAACGAATATCATCATGTCATCTAAAACTTTGTTTTTCTCTTAAGGATTTTTGGCATAGAGTACATTGCTTATTTTGACACGTGAAGACGAAATATTTTATACTAATAGCTCTTTCAGCAAACGCATTTTTAAAAACACAGCAAACATCTTCAGCCAGAGTGAATAAACGTATTTCATTCTTGTTAACAGATCACAGCTATTCATAGTGCAGTTGCATTCTCAAACAGCTTCCTATCAAGTGCTTCTTTCCAACTGGCAATGAGAACAGTAACTACAGCTTGATGGAAGATTCATTCTACCTGAATTCTCCCTCTCTTGCCTATTTAGAATTAATCAAATAAATATCTGGTTTCTGGTTACCCACTTGGTTCCCAGAATAAGAAACATCGATTGTTGAAAATAACTCAAAACATTCAGAAATAACTGAAAAGATTGGCTGACCTTCTTCAGTTCCTACTGAAAATGCTTCAGTAAATACAGTGCAGAAGTAAAGCAGTATCTTGTATGATTTTTTTTACAGGAAATATTATCACTCAAGTTGTTTGCAGTATTTCTGTCTGTACTCTCAGGGTGCCTATGCCACTGTCTCAACCCCCAGCAGACTAAGTCAAGATGAAAATGCAAATGAGATCTCTGCAAAAGCATCGGATACCTGAATTTGAACCTTAAATATTGAATACTTCTATACAATTTGCCTAGAGGATAGGCCATGGAAGTAACATGCCCTGTACATCTCATGACAAGGGCACAGTAGGTGATAAAGCCTCCTGACAGTTACTGCTAATCAGAAAAGCAGCTCTGCAGAGCAAAAGGGCTGCTATCTGTGGGTTATAGCCTAGGACACCACACTGGGCTTTGCCGTAAACCCACTAGGAGCTTTGATAAGATACCCCCCCTCTGCCTCTCTTCACTTTTCCCTCTCACTTGGATGTATAACAGGGATAGTATTGCCATGTAATTGTGTATGGTGCAACACAATTATGTTATGTGTTTTATAATAACAATGTGTATGGTAGAAGCTTTCATGCCACAGCAGTCTGCCCCAGTTCTCCTAAGTTTTTAAAACACAAAGACTTAGTGTATATTGGTTTATAGGGGGTGTCCTAGTGTTGTCAGATCTTGGAATGTCATTCAAGAATACTGCTGATAGCCATTGCTTCTGAGCTTCATGCTGTGCTATTATTTTGAGGGTTGTTCTGACAGAAGACCACAGTTAGGAGGAAAGAGGCAGAGAGGCACAAAGGAAAAGTTCGGACAGTAACAGCACCCCCTTCATACGTTTTAAAAATAATAGCTAAATAAATGAAAAGTAATGCTGATATTTTTTTCAGCTCTGAGTAGATGAACAGATATATTTTCCTTTCAGATCCTAAAATATCTGCTAAAATCTGAAGAGAAAGAACTTGGCAACAAGATTTATACTTTCTTCTCTGCTAAGCTCCCCAGGCTCACAGGGGTGGTGGCCTTTCTATTGCAGCAGCATCAAACTTAAGAACTGCTTGTCAATAAGGCAAAAATTAATGACAATATCTTTGAGAGGTACAGGAAAAAACCCAAATCCCACTGTCTACACAATTAACCTTGTATTATCCTTCTCTCAACATCAACTTTGCTGTATTTATGGGCAAGATGAGTCTAAAAGTGAGTCTTAAAACATTAGATTGGAAATATGGTAACTTGTCAAATTATACTATCTATGAAGATAAATTCCATATTTGTGTCTTACAAGTTCCTGGTCATCCTGCATCCTGAGCATGTTCCTGTGAACCTGCTTTAGCCAGGAAGTTGAAACAGATGATTTCCAGAGGTCCCTTCCCACCCCAGCCATTCTGTGGTTCTGTGACCAGAGGCAATAAACCAAACCATTCTGAAGCTGTTCAGGTAGCTGGGGATTCTTTTGCCATGGCTTCTTTCTCTATGGACCAATATTTCATCACCAGGCAATCACAGATTTGCATCCTCACTGTGTAATGGGAAAGAAAAGGAAATCTAGTAACCAAACCTTTCATAGTAAATACCTCAACCTTCACTCTCAGAGTTGTTCTGTAAGCAATTAAACTTTTACATGCTGTTTATCAAGTTTAAAGTAGCTGGTTTTAATCTCAATTAGAAAGTACCTTAAATTACTGTATTTTTAGAGCCTGGAAATACAAAGCCAGCAGAATGAATTGCATTTTAGATTCATAAAATTATGCATTCATTGGCATAAAAAAAGAGAGTGCTTTTGTTTTGTTACAAAACCAGCACAAGCTCTGCTCTTTGATCTTGGAAAATTAAATTAGGTGTAACTCCATTATTTCTACATTTACTGGCAAACAGAGGAGAAATACACCATGGGTGATGACATTTCTGTGTTGTTATGAATTGTAATAAAGATTTAAGATAGGCATTTTTATGGAAATAAAAGGCCACCAAGTCTTTTTATTTTTTTTTTCATTCGAATTGCGAAGCTGAGTCTTATTTATCTTCAAATACTATCTCCAAGAAATCAAGTTTGTCTTACAATCACAAAACCACAGAATGGGAAAGGTTAGAAGGAAGCACTGGAGGACCCTGGTCCAACCTCCCTGCTCGTGAAGGGTAATCTGAGAACACATGGCACAGGATTCCATCTAGATGATTCTTGAACATCTCAGCTGAGGGTAAATTCCACAAATGCTCTGGCAATCTCTTCTAGTGCATTGTCAATCATACTGTAAAGAAGTTCTTTATGTTCAGGTAGAACTTCTGTGTGTCAGTTTCTGCCTTTTGTCCTGCTACTTGGCATCACTGAGCAGAGCCTGGCTCCATCCTCTTAACACCCTCCCTTCAGATACTCATACACGTTGATGGGGTCTCCTCTCAGATGTTCCTTCTCAAGGCTGAACACACCCAACTCTCTCAGCCTTTCCTCATAGGTTAGATGCTCCAGGCCATTAATCATCTTTGTTTCCCTTCAGTGGACC